TTGCCAGGCAGAATAAGCACACCAGCATTTTTATAAAAACAAATTATAAATAATTGCTTTTTGCAATTCAATACACACATAGGAAGAGCCAAAAGAGTTCAGCAGCCACCGGGAATCTGATTTCATTGCCGATTTGGACTGTCTCTGTAGTTTTTATGAAAATCCCTGAAGACTGTGCTATTTTGTAAACTAAACATGGCTTTTTTTTTGCTGGCCATGCGGAGTCTTTTTCCATTCATTAGTGAGCTGCTTTTTTTTGTGAACACAGTTAGACAAAGGGATAAATCAGTCAACAAACATGGGACATAATTTTGGCAATACTGGACTGTCTATGCTCTTATTTGCTTTACTGTATAAATCTTTCACCAGGCTACAAATGAAACTGGTTCCCTCAGTGTCAGGGTCAGGAGAAGAGAAGGACCAGGCCAGATCCTGTGAATCCGATGGCTCACACCGACCATGGCTGGTGTTGAGCAGTTTCCCTCATTATGGCAATTCAGCATTCCTACTATTGGGGAATAAATAGCTTTGAGGTATTTCTTCCATTTCCTCTCTCATATTACAGAGCTTAAGAAACATCACCAGCACACAGCCCATAGAAATGCAGTTTCTCTTTGGAAGGAGAAATGAAAGCTTTGCTGGACCCAAGAGGCAGAGATTCCTTCCCTGGCATTCCCAACCAGCTCTCACACTTGCTGTAAGTATGGATGCATACCCATAAGGGCAAGGATTTATGACTGATCTGCACTGGAGCAGGATTTGGTTCATCCCACTGTTTTTCTGCATAGCTGAAGACACCTGCCAGATCACATTCATTTGAGGTCTGAGAGATGCCCTTCATCGCTGGGCAGCACATCTGCACTTCCATCCCTCTTCAAGGCTCTTTTGAGGCTGTAAAGCTTGTTTTGACCCTCTGCAGACAGGTGAATCCCACCCACGGTACCTCGTGTTGCTACAGATCATATTAAGCTTCCTCTGCAAAAAGGTACAAGTTGAGAGAAGGATTCATGATTTATTTCCCCACAATTTATCCTTTTTCAACCAACATTTTCAACTGCTGGTATTGCTATGAGTGGATTTCCCCTCCCCATGCATATGTTGGCCTTGCTTCCCATTTCCAGTGATTTAAGAAAAGATTTCTGCCCAAGTAACATAAACAGTAAGTCTTTATAATTTTTTTTTTTTTAAGATGTTCTCAGATTTCCCACTCTGTTTTTCCAGAGATCACCAGATAAATAGGCCTCAGGAAAGATATACCAGGGACAGCAACTATAAATACTCCAAAAATGTTGAGGATAAGTGTCAAGGCTTAATGCATAGCTAATGGCCTAATCTGCAGTTTCATCACAAGGCATTTATCTCATTGCTTGCTTTCACTGTACTCTTCCTGTAATACCTGTCCATTTAAAGTTTATTTATCCTACCCAAGAAGATTCATATTCTATTTGTAACCTATTCCTCCCCAGTTTTCAAATTAATCTTTCTTTTTTTAAAGATGGCTTGTCAATGACTGAGTGCTACCTGTGGTGTAGTCTATAACTGAGCCAGAAGGAGCCTTTAGATAAAAAAGCAATGTCACCCTAGGCCATCTGTCATCGAAGGTGCAGTATCACTACAGGAACCGGCCCCTAGCTGGATGGCTACAAATGTGATGCTCAGTGGGGCATAGCTGGGAACAGAGTTATTCTCCATCATACTTTGTTTCCTGGAGTCATTTTCAGTCTTCTCACTCAGGGGAGGAGGAGGATCTGCCTTTTGTTGATCACACTGGCTGTTTTTCCATCGGTGCTTGTGCTGCCTCATTTAGCCCCTAGATCAACTGATTCATGGGACAAGAGTTTAAAAACCAGGTGCTGAAAGTCAAGAAAGTAAAATTCCTGTTCAGAAGACCTTGTGCAAGGACACCGAGATGATTCAGGGCTGCCAATGTCTTGGCCAGGTTTGGAGAATACAGCTCATCCCCACGTCCTTGGGGCTAGGGCAGCATGGACATGGCTTGGCTCATGGCTTGTAAGGGTGGCTTAACACTGCTACCCTCTTCCCTTTACCTTGTCCTGGCTGAAGAGACTATTGCTAGAAGTTGGGCCCAGGGCACTTTCTTACTCGCAGTCTGATCTGGGATGCTAAGGAGCAGGCTTGGGCACTGAGCCATCAAGAGGCATCCAGTGATGTACCCAGTGATGTAGAGGAGCCAAGTCTGGTGATTGTAGCTCGTTCTCTATGATCACCTCCATGCCAGGCACTGAGTGTATGTCCCTGCTTCTCAGAACTATGTCTTTTGCCCCACAGCCTGAAAATTGCACTCCAGGGGTTTTTTTCCTTCGTTTCCCTTGTCAATGCCAGTAAAAAGAAGCTAAATCTGAGTGAGACCGTGTGGCTGGTTAGCTGTCTGCACTGCAGGCCCTCAGCAGGATGAGGCTCATATCTGGTGGAGAGTGGCTGCATCTGCAAGTCATTGCTTCCCTCGGTTGCCTTGCTGGGATCTGTTTTCGGTTGCTGCTGAGACAAACTCACCAGTCAAAATATTGGTGCTTTTCAAGTCCAAGTCAGCAGCGTTTCCTGTAAGCAGTGTTTTACATTGTATTTGCATGAGTTGCTTTTTTGGTTGTCTTGAAACCTCTATAAACAGAGTTCTGTCATTAATTTTACTCTTCTATTCAATGCTGGTAATTCGTACATTGTGCCTGTCCAGCACAAACCAGGGAGCGATGATGTTGGTGCTGTGCTGCAGGACATTCAAAGTACAGGCAAATCCATTGTTTCACGCTGAGATGAACCAAATGTTGAGCTCTGATTCTTTGCTAAATTGGGATACATGCTGGGTAATCTTCCTTCTTCGGTAACAAATATGACTTCTGGGCTTTGTGAGTTGGGTCTGTTTGAGTGCTGGTATCGCTGTAGGAAAGTCGTTCTTTAAAGGTGCTTTTTTTTTTTTTACTCATGCTCTGGCTGAGTTTGTAGAAGGTTGTTTCTGTGCAGCCTTCAGTGATACGGTACCCGCCCTGGTGAAACATTAAACCTTTGGTCTTCCCCCTCCTTCGCCAGGAGGTAAAGCCTGGTGCCCCTCACCAAATCCCAGGGCTTTGCAGCGTCATGCGTTGAATAGAAAGATGTGCCCAGAGATCTTACAGTTCCCTCTCCCAGGGCTTGGCTGGAAATCTGGGAGCACTGACAACCACTCTGAATCCAAGCCAGCAAACGTCTGTGTGTGTCCCTGTATTGGTGTGTCTGTGTCAGCTTCACAGTGAGTCAAGCCTCTGTTTCTGAATGTAGGTGTTACTAAATTAAAAGGACTGGCTGACATGGTCAATGACAGAGCCTCAGGCTGGAGGGTCTGCATGAAATGTGAGAGCTGGACCAACCAAAACCTCAAGGTTTTCAACAAGCTGAAAGTGGTGACAATTTGCCCCAAGCCTGTGGCAGAATACCCACCTGCATCAATGCCAGCTGGGGACCGACTGCACACAGAGCAACCCTAGTGTGAAGACCGTGGGTGATGGTGATGCTGTGTGAGACAATGAGGCGCACTCATCAGGAGTTTGGCAAACCATATAACAGGCCATTTGAGGAGAAGCATGGCTAGGACGTCCAGGGAAGTTGTTATTCCCCTTTGCTTGGTGCTGATGAGGCTGATCCAGTGTTGCACCTCCCAGTTCAAGAAGGTTGTGGACAAACTGGGTTGGACCAGGGGAGGGCTACCAGGTCAGGGGTCTAGAGTACACCACCTTTGAAAGAGGTGGAGGGGATTTGGCTTGTTCAACCTGCCAAAGAGGAGGCTGGGGTGATCTAATAGAAGCCTGCAACTACTTGAAGGGCAACTCCAGAGATGATGCAGCCAGACTCTTCTTGGTAGTGGCAGCTGATACCATGAGGGACAACAGCCACAGGCCACAGCTTGAGAAATTTAGATTGGATATTAGGAAAAACTTCTTTCCCAGATACTCAAGGAGGAGGCAAATCTCATTTCTTGGGGATTTTCAAAGCTTGTCTAGCAAAAGCCACTGATGAGCTGACGTGTTCAAGCAGGAGGGTGGGTGAGATCTCCTGAGGTCCCTTTCTACCAAAAATCCTGTGATTCTACAAAATCAAGGCATTGGGATCTCTGCTTTCTTTTTCTCTTTGAAACAAAGATAATGCTTAACCAGACTTCCAGCCTTCAACAAATAATAAATAAATAAATAAACAAATAAACCCCCAAGCAAGCAGGCAAGCAGACAAACAAATAAAACCATAAGTAAACAAGCAAGCAAACAAACAAAAGCCCCCAAAGGACAAATGAGTCTTGTTTATTTAATTCCACAATTTGCAGTCAGCCTCATGGTTTGTGTGGATTTTTTTTTTTTTAATTGTTTAGCATTGGCTGGTAATTTGTAGCCTGACTGCAGTCACATGTGAACCTTTGCTAGCTCAGTCTCTATAAATTTGCAGCACCTGGTGAAGGAGGGAACACAGCTCAGCTGGAGGTGTTGATAAGAGTAACTCTAACTGCACGTAAGACCTATGCTTGTTCCAGGATCTGTATAAATCTACTGCAAGAAGCATGGGGACTTGGAAATAGCTGTTCTGCTGCAAGCTTCACCTGCAACCTCCAAAGTTAAAAACAGAGTAGCTTTCATGAAGAATTAAAACAGTCATCTCTTCTGAGCCACAAGAGGCAATAAAAGTGAAGGAAGTGAAACAGTTAAAGAGTTTGTCATGTGCTCTTGTTTGGGGCAATGTCCACTTTCACCCTGCTGGGACTCTCAAGCTGGTCTTTGTTGCGATGGGCTTGAAGCAATGAGCCCACCTCAGACAAGGCTGAAGAACAAGATCCCTGGTTACCTTTGATCCTGCCTGGCAAGTAAGCAAAGGGGAGGGGGAAAAAAAAAAAAAGTAATCCCTGGCATATTGACTCAGCACCTTTCACTCTGTAAGCTTTGAACTGTACACACAGCTTCTGCACCTTACCTTCTTGTCATTTTTCAGCCCGTCAGCTTGCAGTAAGTAATTCCATGAGCACTATGAATGCAAAAGCCAACTCTGGAGGTAAGGAAGAAGCCTTGGGAATGAAGAGCAAGACCCTGGGGGAGAGCAGCCGCCCAGGAGAGGTTGAGAGGGGACAAGTGATCCTTGTTGCCTACCTGATTGCAACCCTAGAGCTGACCTTCCTCTTCATGCAGATGGGAGTCATGCCCGTGAGTATGGGTTGTCCTGCTTCACAGTGCATCTTGCCTTCAATGCCAGGCTATGTAGTTTTCCAGTGAAGTCAGGAGAGAGGAAAGTGTGTGTTTCTACCTAGTAGGCAAGCTGTGATGGTGTTTAGGGTGTGCCCAGGCAGTAAAAGCTGGTTTATTATTTATACTGCAGTAGCACCTAGAGCCCTTTCCTGGCCTGATGGTCATTAGGTGAAGCTGATGTAGTTTGTGTCTTCTCGCTTGCAGTGGGAGAGTGACCTAACAAGCAGGCATCAGAAATCAGAGGTCTGAGATTAGAGGTGAGCTTTTCTGAGGGTGTAATAAACTAGCTGTGAGTGGGAATCATTGCTTCTCACTTACTGTCCTCCTCTGTCTGGTTTCATAGAATCATTTAGATTGGAAAAGACCCTTAAGATCATTGAGTCCAACCATAAACCTAATGTTGCCAAGTCCACCGCTAAACCATGTCCCTAAACATGTCTAGACATCTTTTAAATACCTGCGGGGATGGTGACTCCACCACTTCCCCAGGCAGCCTGTTCCAGTGCTTGACAACATTTTTTGGTGAAGACTTTTTTTTCCTCATGTCCAATCTAAACCTTCCCTAGTGCAACTCAAGGCAATTTCCTCTTGTCCTGTTGCTTGTTACTTGGGAGAGGAGACCAACCCCCGCCTCGCTACACCCTCCTTTCAGGCAGTTGTAGAGAGCCATAAGGTCTCCCCTCAGCCTCCTCTTCTCCAGGCTAAACCACTCCAGTTCCCTCAGCCAGTCCTCACAGGACGTGGGCTCCAGACCCTTCACCAGCTTCGTTGCCCTTCTCTGGACCCGCTCCAGCATCTCAATGTCCTTCTTGCAGTGAGGGGGCAAAAGCTGCACACAGTGTTCAAGGTACAGCCTCACCATTGCTTCCCTGCTCCTGCTGGCCACGCTATTCCTGATACAGGCCAGGATGCTGTTGGCCTTCTGGGCCACCTGGGCACACTTACTGGCTCATGTTCAGCTGACTGTCAACCAGCACCCCCAGATCCTTTTCCGCTGGGCAGCTTTCCTGCTCTTGTGAGCTCATGGATCTATGATGTGCCTGTCCACCCCTGTCTCTGGTAAGCCCATACCTTCTGGGAGATCTCCCCCCTGGTTTTATGCCTCCAGAGGCAAACTGCTCCCTCCTGCTGGCACTAAGCCTGCAGTGCCCTGAGCCTGTAGGCTAAGAGAGAGTTTATTTATGGGAGACTGGGGTAGTCGATCACTGATCAGTGACAGTGGGGTTTGGGACGTGGGTGCAGAGCATGTACCAGGGAAGTGGGCAAGGTTGGGGCACCTCCACATCTGCTGAGAGTTTTAAACAACTTTTAGCAGATGGCACAAACCAAAAACATCAATCAGAAATAGCTGTCCCTTGAGCATACAATTTTAAAATAAAAAATCCCAAAGGATTGTGGCTCTTCAAGTCATGCATCTATGTTTTTTTTCAAGCTCAGGTTATGGGTATACCATTCAGATTATAAATAAAGGCCATATTTTGCTCATGGTATGCTTGCATTGATTCTAGCTTACTGTGTTAGACAACAGCTCCAAGACCTTATCACAGTCATCTCCTGAGTGGTGCTTGGGCTACCCCAGGTGCAGGGTCTGGAGTCAAGAAGGCTACTTAAAATATAAGTCATCCCCCTTAGCAGTAGCTGGATGTGTTCTGTTGTGTTGGACTGCAGAGATAGAAGGTGATTCAGATTTGTCACCTGGTGCAAAATTGATGGTTTTGATCACATCCCCCTGATCTTCATTAGTGGATGGTGTGGGATGGAGACTTTTGGTCTTTATTAAGCAGCCTGTGTCTGACCCAAAGAAGATTTCATCTGTAGGTATGGGGAACTGAAGGAAATGCTTGTTTGGAGCTGCAGTCCTCTCTGCACACAGACATTAAGCTCTTTATTCAGAAGTATAACATACTTCATTTCCCTGACCTGTTGGGTTTTTTTTTCCCCCCCCTTTTTAGTACTTGGCAAAGAGCCTAGGTTTGGATTCAGTGGGGTTTGGCTACCTCCAGACAACCTTTGGTGTCCTCCAGCTTGTGGGAGGTCCCATTTTTGGAAGGTAAGTGAGAACAATTCTCATGACCCTTTTCATAGCTGAAAAAGGCCATACATTTTTATACTTTAATAAAAAAGCATTTAGTCCTGGTTCATGGTCCTGTTGAAATGTTTGAAGATTTCATAAATGGGCAAGGGGAAAATAAATACTATAATTAGAAATACTGCAACATAGAAGCAGCCTTTATATTAACTTAGCTGTGTTTTAATGACACACATTTAAGTGTAACAATATACTGGGAACAGGCTTAAATCGTCAGAGTCCTCAGAGCCCAGGTCCTAACGGCTTAATAGCTGTTTTATAGCCATATGTAACCTTAGAAATGTCTTGTGACTGGGAAACCTAAAAAAAAGAAGGTATTTATTGATGTTAAGTAGAGCTGTCAATGAAAATAACTGAGGGTCATGTTATTTCGACAGCTGAATCTCACTGTATCTACATCAGTGTTTAATACCAAGCTAGATTTGCATGAATCTTTAAGAACTGATGCATCTATAAGCTTATGTATCAAAATAAGGAAAAGGTGGAAAAGACTTAGGTTTTCTGCCTCTCTGCCCCATGGGACACATGCTCCTGCTCCTAATGAAATGCAAATGGCACAAAGACATTTGAGTGGTGGAGGAATGCGTTCCCAAAAAACAGAAAAGATTTGAAAGAGCAGTGTAATCTGCTGATAGGAAACTAAAATGAGGCTGAGAAAATCTAGCTTTTCTCAGTCCTGCTACTCATCAACAAAGTAATAAAGGGAATCGGAGCTGGTGTGTGCCTTGGTTTTGCTGCATGGGATTTACCGTTCTGGTTGATGTAGATTGTGAGCTCTACAGGATCCTGCGGTACATGGTGTGTAGTGCTTCAAGGTTCTGATCTCTAAAAGCCCTTGGACAATACCATAGTACATATCTTAAAATTAATAGCATTAAATTCTCCAGTGCAGCTTGGAAGAAAATGCATTCTGAGGACAGAGGTGGTGCAAAGGGCCCAATTTGAATGCTTTTTCTATTAATACACAAAACTAGAGTAATATTTTTGTTCTGGATCTGGTGCCATCTGAAATCTGGTTTTCTGCTCTGTGTCATTCACTAATGTCCAGAAGAGATGCTGAAGGGAAGGAAAACAGCAGAATCTGTCTGGGTCTAGACTCACTGGTGTAGATGGGACTGAAGGTATATATTGCCAGATTGAAGCCAAAATTTGCAATGTAGGTTTGAGAAAAAAAGATTTTCCTAGAGGTAAGGCTGCTTTGACCTCAGTGTAGAGGCAGATAGAGAGAAAATTGGAAGGAGGGGATTAAGAGAGACAAAAATGTGTAGCTTAGGTCAGTTTTTGTTGTTCTTGCTTGATGCTCCTGAATAGCCATGAGAAGATGAAGCACTGAATTTACACCAGAAAAGCCATGGACTATGTAGTGAACTGTGGTTACAAACAGCTAATATAAACTTCCCTGGCTTTCATGTAAACAGCGAAGGTTTGACCTGTACCTCTTCCTCAACATAAAACCCTTTAATTACTTATGCTTAGCTTTGTTTGTAGAGCAGTCTTGGCATTTTTGGCAGGGTTGTTTCTTTTAGTGTAAGTACAATTAATTGCTATGCAATGTAACGTTCATCTTTTAACTGTAATACACAAATTCAATAAAATGAAGGAAGGAGGAATTGGAGAGAAAAGGCCTGTTTTATGGTTGTCTTAGTCCCGGTTGTTCAGAACCCTTTCTGTGGTACTCTTGGACTTTGTTCAACTTAGCTTTACAAATATCTTGGAGCTGAATAAAACCCAAACCAAAACCTGATCTGGCTGGCTTGATTTTTTTCCCCTCAAATAGAAGCATATTTTAGTTGCTATTGTGAAGTCTTTATTGAACCTAAATAGAAAACTACCTATTTGTTTTCTTTAAGTGAGGCTGAATGAGAAATGTTGCTTTGAACAACTTCTGGAAATAAATGGGAATAACTTCAATTGCCATTGAACCTGAACTGAAAATTTGGCTGGCTTGATTCCCTACTCTGAACCAACTCTGAGTCACAAAGTAAAATTTGAGGGTGCTATGTGCTCTGAAGTGATAATATTGAATGAGTTACTGAACTGCTGTAACTGCCTCTGCCTGTGGCTGGTCTTTAGCAGCTCTGACATAAGCCACATTTATTCATTGGAATGCCAGGGGAGGAGACTTGAGCAAGCATGTATTATCTTCTGCTTACGAGGGATCTAGAAATGGGCTGTGGCAGTTGCTGGCCAATTCCCTTGTTACACCAAAGTGTCTGTGCCTGCGTTCCCAGGTGGGCAGCTGGTCCTTCAGCACTGGTCCTTGTGCTTCTCCTCCAGACAAGGCTTCCAGTTTTGAGGGGGCTTATTTTGGAGTTTTTTTGCCAGGCAAAGTTTTGTATTGCTGGTAGTCAGCAAAGAGAAGTTGCCCAGTGCTCAGATCCGTTGAGCTGAGCTCCTCTGAATATCTAGTCTTTTTTTGGGAACTGAGTGCTTCTGAGAATCTGATCAGTACTTCCCGTGGTGGGTAAATGAGAGTGAGATGGCCATGCAACTCCCTTCATCAGGGTGCATCATGCTTGCAACAACCTGCATGGTCCCACATCTGACAACCTTATACCATTTCTACACCAGGTTTGCAGATCAGTTTGGCACCCGAGCAGCTTTAATTCTCTCCTGTGCGTCTGGAAGTGCCTTCTTCCTGCTCACATCCATCTCTACCAGCATCCCCCTCCTCTTCCTCTCCAGGCTGCCAACAGTGTTCATGCATGGGCTACCAGGTAAGGTCAGTCAGGGCTGAGTGGCTTTCCAAATTTCTTTTATTGCCTGATTTCTCTCTTCTTGCTCACGTTGCTGGAAGTCAACAGGCTGACCAGCATGAAGGAGGGCAAGAACATTTGATGGTCATCAGGGGTGAAATGGTGAGAACACAAAGCAGCAGGTGTATTGGTTATGGAAAGCAGGACTAATAGCCTGTAGTCCCAGGTCCATCCTCCTGTATGATCTTGAGCAAATTGCTTGGACTTCACCATCCAGACATGGGTGACAATCACTTACTGGCAGCAGTGCTATCCCAAACTTCTCAGCTGCCTTCTTGCAACCAGGGTATTTTATAGGAGAGCTTTTTCCTTTCTCCTGATAAAATGGATGTATTGATCAAAATGAAACATGATTACAAAAATACCTTCCATTACCCACCAAGTTGTTCTGCTTTAATTGACCTTTCCTAGATGTTTCTAGTAAAACCCATAAACAACCTTTAGCTACTAGAAATCCATGTTACTCATGCAAGAGGACTCGTTGATAGGGTGTTAAGCCTCTTCTTGCCACTTGTGAAGTGGTTTGAGTGGTTTGAGTGTTTTTGTTTCCTATGACTAATGGGCTGAACCAATTCCACTCAGCGGTGTGCACGAGCATTTGCCCTGGGGTTTCAAGGACCATTTTGTAGCAGGTGCTATTTCTGTGGTCTAAAAATTTGTATACCCACTGCTCAGACCCTGTAGCAAGCTTCTGTCAAGGGATTTTTTTTTTTTTTCCTGTGCAGGTGCTCAGAAGGTTATTACAGACCTGACTACTCCTTCCCAACGTGCTGATGCTTTGGGGAAGCTGGGTCTTTGCTTTGGAATAGGCATCATCGTTGGCTCTGCCCTGGGAGGTGTCCTCTCCACCAAATTTGGGTGAGTGACCCACTTGTTCAGTGTTGGCCTTTTTGCAACCATTGGGAGAGCTGCTAAGGGGTACTTTGCTTCCCCACCAGCTTTTGATGAGATCTTACTGCTGGTGGCAGTAGAGGATTGTACTAGAACTCCAAATTTTTCTTTCCGTGCTGCTACAAAGAAGTACTCCTGCTGTTTTTAAGGAGACCTTGCTGAAAATCTCATCTTCTGTCTACTTAAATTGTTTTAAAAACAAGTTAAAGTAAGAAATGGAGTCTGTCTGTTGTCTTCTTTTTGGAGCTGATTGTGCTGAAAAGCAGCATGCATTGCATAGCCTGCTTTTAAGGAATGGTGTTGTACAACCAAGAAATGGAAATTGGGAGCAGTGTGAAACTTGTGGGGAAATGGGTGTGCTTGGGGGATGCTCAATATGGAGCAAGACCTTGGGAAATGGGAAAGCAAGCTTGGGACAGTGGGGGAAAAGAGCGAGGAGGTCTAGCCCGGTCACAGCAAGATGAAGCATGTGTCTGCCACTTCCATGTTTGCTTTCCACAGCCTGGCGCATTGTAGCGGGCTGACACCTTCTCTTATGTGCTGCAATAGGAAAGAAATGCCTGATTTTACTCATCAGTCCCTGTTCATTGTTAGTAAAGGAAGCTCAAAAGGTGTGGTGTGTCAGAGAAATTTGTAGACAGGGAAGTGCATGTGGCTATGATCTTCCTGGAAGATTCCCCAGCATTTCTATGTTGGGGAAGAAAATCCCTTGTGAACTTTTGAGTGTTTATTTTGCTCTACTTCTTTTTATTACGGACACTTGCTTCTGCAGATTCAGGTTAGCATGGAAATAACTTTTTTTTTTCAACCTTTGTGAGCATTAGACCTGCTCTACAGCGTAGGAGAGAGGATAAAGATCATTAGGGGAAGCTCTGGCTTTCAGCAATTGGGTTTGTCCTGGAAGGGGTCAGTGTGGCTGGCAAGTATCCGTGTCCTTGAGGTGTCCCCACAGGCCTGCCCACCCCGCCCCCACGCTGTGCTGCCTGCAGCAGCACAGCCACCCAGGGCTGCCTTACCCACCTGGGTCCCACCTCCCTCATTTTTTTCAGCAACACTAGCTCATTAAAAATCAATTTTCATGAACTTCAGGCAACTAAGTCAAATGTCATTGATTTCCTTCATGATCTTTGTCCTAATGCCATAAGCACTGTGGGCTGTACGTGGGGGTACATCACCTGAGCATTTTGCATGGGGCACGCTCGGTTACGGTGTTAGGCATCGTGCATTGCTCTCTGAACCCTGTTGTAAGTCCACATGCATTCAGGTGCTGCAGTGATTCTACTTTGCGTCTCAAATCTTTGCAAAGGTTAATTGAGTAGAAGACTTTAACCTCGCTGCCTTAGGGAGTAGCCTCTGCAAACTCTGTTTGCTGGCATACCTTGGCAATGTTGGGCCAAATTAATTGCTGCAGACAATCTCGGGAGTATTCTTGCTTGAAATCTGAAAAGCTTTTCCTTAATTCTTTTGTAGATAGTGCCTGTTCTGTGTTGGCCAACTGACACAAGGCTGGCAAGGAGGATTCATCTTGTAGTTGTTATATGGGTACATAAAATTGGGAGGTACCTAATCATAGAATCATCATAGAATGGTATCACCTAGTTCCAACTCCCACTAGACCAGGTTGCTCAAATAATATTAACTAACTCAGGATTTTAAAGTATTTATAGATGTTGATGGTTGAGTGGGGTGTTAATATGTATTATTTTTAATCAAATACAGTGATTGTATCCCTTGTGTGTGTTAACTGCCTGCAAGTAAAGGTTACCTCGGTTCTCAGCTTAATCTTTGATTGTACGCCCATATTTAATCATCAAAATTAAAGTAGCATTGTTATCTACCAAAAATTCATGGGGTTTCACTTTCCAGCTTGTGCATCAGTCGCCGGTTTATAGAAAAATCAGCAGTGGGAGAGAATCAGTTAGACACTTGAATGCAGTCCAGCTTTTGGATGTCGGGGCTCGGTGCTGTCAGACAACAGGAGGCTTCCAGGCTCCCCAGGTTGCTGCTTATTTTAAAAGCTGCTGGCCCGTAACGTTTTGTGCCTGCAGCAGAACACTGAGAACAGTGAATATTGCCTGTAATTATGGGAAAGTAAGGGACCTGCGCCGGAAAAACGGCATAGCTTTTGACTTTCCCACCGCAGGGGGTTGTTTCCCTTGCATCCAGCGGAGGGCAGCTTCGGCTCGCAGTTCATGCCTGGCTGCCGGAGCATCCCACCGCGGTGGTTTTGGGGCTGCTCTTCCGTCCCGTAGCAGGACTGGGGAAAGCAGCCTGTCTGCCGGCAGCATTTGGGTTTCTCCATGAGCATCTGTGCATCCCCCTGGAAGGATGGCAGGAATTCCCGTTAACAAGGGACAAACTCCCGTGTGCTGGCAGAACCCTTCTGACCACCCAGATGTGCGGAGGGTTGGTTCGATTTTTATCAACAGCAGCTCCAGGCTGAGAAGGCCACTTTGGGTGTTTGGTAGCAACCTTTGCTGCAGCCAGACCCCACCTTTGCTTTGACACCATGCTTAGCTCCTCTGCTAGATTTCTGTGCAAAGGTTAGAGGAGCAAGCTACTGACTTTTAGTGTTTTGGCTGATATTGGTGGTGAGTGGGAATTGAGCTCTGTAAGCAGATGAAGACAGCTCTGTGTGATGAAGCAGCCCCCGCAGCGTCCCCAGCACCTCTGGCTGTGTCTGCAGCACTGACCTGGAGGGAAAGGAGTGGGTGTCACAGCATGGATGTATCCGAGGCTCCTTGACCCTGTTGATGTATCCCACAGATTGCCTGTTAATCAATCCTTCCCTGTTTGCCACATTTGTACGGGAAGGCTCCAGCTGTGTAATCACTTCCTTTTTTTTTTTCATAGAAGAATGACCCAATCTCCTTCCTTTGAAAACAAGCATTTCTGCTGTGTCATGAAAGAGCAAAGCTGGAGATTTCTGTCCACTCTGCATTCTTCACTCTCTCTCACCACAAAGCTGGCCAGCATTCCCCATCTTTGTTGACAGCATTATTCATATGTTAGCAGTGGTTTGTATACAAGAGAGAGGGTAGAAATCAGTCTGTTTCTCAGCTGATGTCATTTTGGTGTTATTCCACTGTATTGTATTCACCATTGATGTACTTGACCTAAAGAGCTAGTCTGTTGTTTTCATTGTTGGAATAATATTTGTCAACCCATTTTTATTAAGGGAGCCCCAGGGAAGTTGAATGGCTTGTTCTGATTTGCATAGGATTTTTTGGATGTCAGATCCTGACCTTCACTCCTAAGCTGTAGCCCCCAGCTCGAGCCCTTCCTCTTCCTCTCTCTAAAGTACAACACTTTTCCCCCATGTTTTCCAAAACTTTGAATGAAGCTGTAGCAAAGCAATTGTGACTTTTAGTCACACCTGGACATATTTCATCTGTGGAACTTGGCTTTGCCTTTTGCAATTAAAGGAGCTGCTCACCAGCTGGCTTTGCCTTGCTGAATTTAATTGCTGGAGACCTTGTTCTTGATATATTGACTTGTCCACTCACACCTGTACAACCAGTGTGTACAGCTGTGAAGAATGTGCTTTCTATGGGCAGGATGATAGGCAAATTTACACCACCTGAGGATGAGTTATAAGCCAATTTATTAACACCAGCAGTTGTAATCTTAACCATTTGGAAAGTGTTTTCATGTTTGCATGCCTTTTTTTTTTTTAATTGGTGTTTTCTGGTCCTTGATCAGTTGCATCAGGATTGTGGAGATAAAATACCTAGCTTGAAAATAACTCCTGTAGTTCAGCTGAGGTCTCTAGGTTCTTGAAAGTCTGCAAACTCCATGTCAGCTCATCCACGAAAGGTGTCTAAGAAGAGGAGCTCTGTTTGCTCTCTGCAAATGTTCCCACCTCCCTGTACACTTACTGCGAAGCTGTTAGGGGACCACAGGCTGCAGGTGAGTGTGTACCCCAGGAAAGAAGTGATTTGGTATTTCTAGCAGACTTTTGTGGCAGCACTGTGGGTGAAGGGTGAAAGAAAAATGTTGGATTAGTCTTCAAAAGTGGAAAGATGAGCCTAGGTAGCTAATTACAGAGATTTCATCCTTTCTTCTGGGACTATGATTAATTGCATTTGGCTTCTTTCTTTCTAACAAGGACATACAGAAGCTTTGCTGCATGACCCAAGACTTGTTTGCTTTCTATGGACAAGGAGAGGTTTCTTCATTTTAGTGACTCAGCTGTAGGCTTAAATCTCTCGGAGCAATTATTCTTTTGAACTTGGGATTTTCCTGGCCAAACCCCTTTGGTTTCTTATTTAATATTACTACAGCAGGCTTTGGGGGTAGGTTTTTTTTTTTCCCAGTTGTGCTATTATCCTTCTTCCTTAAGGGGAAAAGAAGGAGCTTGTTCGCCTGGAGTAGGGAGTTGCATTTCTTTTCAATAACCCATTTGGACAATGTCCTCTGGCAGGGAATTTCTCATTGCTTTGCAGCAGAGTGGAAAAACTGTGGGTGTTAAAAGGGCTGAAAGTTGGGAGCTGGGAAGGCGGGTGGGAACAAGGCAAAGGGTGAGAGGGTTGCGCTCCATTTCAGGACAAAGCAGGGCATTTGCTGCTGAGAGCTGCCCCCGTTCACTTCCAGTAGAAACTGTGGTATTTCTCTGCCTGGGATGATGTCGGTCAGCCAAGGAGCATGGATCAGTGATGCTTGTACAAGCGTTGCTTTGTCCTTTGTATCAAGGGACTTTGGACAGAGGGAGGTGGTATCTGCCTGCCAGCAAGTCATCCATGAGCTGCAACGTGGTCTGTCACCATGAGAGGGGTCATGGTAGAGATGGGGAGAGAATAGCGAATGGCCTTTGTGTCAAGGAACTGATGGTTTGAGGAAGGTGCAGAGGACCTCAGTTGTGGCCCTCTGTGAAAAATAAAACAAGATCCAGAGATTCTTTATTCATTTACTCTGTGTGACAACAATTTTGGAAGCCATGGTCCCAAAGGTTGTAGTGTCTACGTCAA